ATTATTGAAAGTGGTATAAGTTCATTTGTAGCTAAAAAATCATTTATTTTCTTTAACAATTTTATTACTTATTATTATATAATAAAATTTATACAGGTTTATAGTTTTAAAAACATTATCAGAACTTATTAAACTTTGCCAATATTTTTTAGTTCAGCATTCAAACGCAAACCCTTAAATATCTTAATGTGTAAATAAATATACTTATACCACTTTCAAAAACAACGGCTCAAATATTCAAAAATGATTACAATTTGAAATTTACTAAATTATTTCGATATACTACCTGCAAATATCATTTACCTGGTGCTCAAAAGTATGTGAACACCTCTTCAACTCTTACTACTACCTAAAAAAAATTATGAAATCTTTAATAAACTTTATTAAATTTCATGTATGTTAGTTCGTACAGTATTAGAGAACACATTTAACCAATAATTTGTCAAATAATAATAAAAAACAATTATATCTTCTTCTCATCAGTATATTCGCCATGTGCTTTTATAACCGCATTTGCGTGTCGTGACATTTTGGCTGTTAGTTTTTTCATTACTTCATTGTCAATTAGGTTCCATTTCGATTGTAAGACTTCTCATAAATGTTTTTTTGACTTTGGACATCGTTTTCGGTCTTGTCTGTTCAAGTGATCCCATAGTTATTCTATAGGATTCATCTTTCAGGGCAGAATAATTTCACATTTATGCCACAATGACCCAAAACACACCGCAAAAATATATCGAAATTATTTATGGTAATTAGAAGAAAATTCTAATGTGAAAATAATGGAATGGACCTCCAATTATCCGACTTGAACCCCATAGAATAACTATGGGATCACTTGATCAGACAAGACGATGTTCAAAGTCAAAAAAACATTTATGGGAAGTCTTACAATCGAAATGGAACCTAATTGACAATGAAGTAATGAAAAAACCAACAGCCAGAATGTCACGACACGCAAATGCGGTTATGAAAGTACACGGCAAATATACTGATGAGAAGAAGATATAATTGTTTTTTATTATTGTTGGCAAAATATTTGAATTATTGGTTAACTGCGTTCTCTAATACTGTACGAACTAGCATACATGAAATTTAATAAAGTTTAAAGATTTCATAATTTTTTTTAGGTAGGAGTAAGAGTTAAAGAAGTGTCCACATAATACGCTGCCGCGTATATGCTGTAACGTATTATTTTTACATCGGTCGATACCAAAATGAAACATTTATCAAAAATAATTATTTATTTTTTCTGTAATCTTCTATTTCCATAACTACATACTATTATAAACAATATATATAGATTATAACCTAAGAATTTCAATTTAGTATCCGATCCAAATTTGGATATTTATTTTTTAAAATAACTTGTTAAATTATTCTTGTATTTGCGACATGTAACATGATGAAATAAATAGGTAGGCTAGTCAAGTACTCTCAATTGTTAAACTTGGAAATTTTAAGTATATATGTATATGTTAAAGCAATATTCGAAACAATCCAACTGTTTAGAACTTAAGAACAAGCTAAATCAACTTAAATATTATTTTTAAATCACTCTAATATCTGACACAATTATAGTTTCATATTGCATAAATTTCATACCATATAAATTGGCATTGTTCAGTGAAAATGTAGATATCATTAAAATCAGTGTGTTTAACGTGAATATAGAACAACTATTACTATATAATATTGTATATATATGTAGAAATATACTAAATTGAAATAATAATTACAATGATATTTTCAGTTCAATTTTTTTTTAAATTGCCTTCTTGATTTATAAACAGAAAGATTAAAAGTTCCAGTGAAGCTGAAAATAATTTACCTTATTCGTATACTGATAGTTTTCAAGTAAACCTTAATGTAGTTATTGTTTATTAAATAATTTTTGTAAAACACTGTGTCTATACATATTTAGAGTACTCTGTAGAATACGTATCATAAAAAAATATCAATTTGCATAATTTGCGAAATTGACAAAGAAAATTGATAAATCAGTAGAAATATACAAGCGAAGTATTCATAGTTCTTATGGCACTCTTGATGTAAGAGAATTTCTTATGTTTATAGACTACGTTTATAACGTAAATATTTTATAATCACTTTCTAATAGTGATTAATCATAACAGTATACTGAAAAACGTTATTAATTTCGCTAGCTTCATTCTATTTAAAAATATTATTGAAAAATTGGCTGAAAAGGTATGGAACTCACAATAGAAAAAAAAAATTATTATTAACTTACACAACCAATGTAAAAATTTGGCAGATATTTTACAAATTGTTAACAGGCCAAGATCTACTATACATTAATTAATAAGTATGGACTAAGAAAAACTCTAAAAAGTAAGTCAAAATATGGACATCCGCAGAAAATCAATCAGTATATTGTTCGGATTATTATTCAACGATTAAATAAAATCCAAAAACAAATAGAATAGTATTGTAAAGCATTTAAAAAATCATTTAAACATTGATTTATCTGCTAGCATTATACGTAGCTTCTTACGAAATCAAAGTTATCATGATAGAGTGGCCCGAAAACAATATTTTGCCAGTGAAATGAACAAAAATAAAAGATTAGAATTTACAAAGAATAATATAAACACACCAATGAAATACTGAAATACTGAAAATATAAAATTTGTACCAGAAAACTTTATGTACAAAGAAAAGTTTATAATAAAATAAAATATAGAAATTTTTATTTAACAATAAAATATGTAAATGAATATATAAAAATAAAAATATAAAATAAAATATATAAATATATAAATTTTTATTTTACAATAAATCATTTATATTTGCCTGAATTTATTATTGTAAATCTAGAAACTTTTTATGAAAAATTACAAATTCATCATTTTGATTATTCTAATAACTCTCGTGTTAAAAAAATATATAAAATGTATAAAATAAAGCAAATAGAATTTAGAAATTATAATTGTAATTAGAAATATGTTATGATTTATGAAATATTTCATTATATCACAAATTGCAAGCGTAAAATTTGTAAATGATATTTTAAAAAATTTTTTTTAGAATTTAATTTTATTGAAACTTACAAATGCGCATTGTTTAGTATCTAAGATCTCACAGTCCTATTTCAAAAGCAAAGATATATTCAACTTATATCCATCTCATTTCCAAAAATATTCTTCTGTTTAGAATGGATTTGATATTTGACAGACATTTAATAAATCTTTCGTCGAAAACATTCTATAGTATCCTATATTCTAAAACCTCACAAGAATTTTGCTCACTACTGTTTTATTTCTTACTATAAATTTATATTTTTCTTAATTATTTTTGTAATAGAGAATATCTCTGAAACATATACTATTCTGAAAAACTCCAGTGACCGATCGATATGAAATTTTGATGGAAGGAAGGAGGAAGAGAAAGTGTCTCAAATATAAACTTCTAATATTTATTAACATCTCGACAACTAATAAATAATCCGAAATTAAAATCTTACATTTGGCGTTTACTCCATTCTCTCTATTTCCTTAAAATTTCACGTCGATTGTTCACATCACAACTACTTGCTTTTTGAAACTACGAAGCTCGATTCACGTAGTATATGCATTGGGTCTTCGTGTATTTTTTATCGAAGAAAAACAATTTTGATGGAACTATTATCAAAGAAAACTATGTTTAATATTGTTTTCTTGATAATTAATGGTAACTAATTTAACAAATTACTGAAAATGCTTAAAAATTCGTTGAGATGCGATTACATTGCAGTGAACATTTGAGAATAGACATTTGGAAACGAAAAAAATTGTAAGAAGATATTGCGTAATCACGAAATCACATTTTATTTGATTGGCAAAGAATTTTACGAATCAGATTCGGGATAGATTCGGGATAGATTCGGAACGACATAACTGTGAGAGACAATATTGGATGAAATTTAAAGAGCGTATAAGTCGTTCGAACAGAAAGATATATCTGTAGTTCGTTCTTCCATAATCTGGCGAAATGGAGTAGTCAGCTGGGTATTGAGAAATAGATTCCACAACTGTCCTCTCCATTTTATTGTTCGACTATTCTGTTTCACACTGCCTTGCATCAGATTTCAATTTTTAAATGATTGACAGATATATATTGTACAAGGACGATATTTCTTTGTTACGAAATTACAATTCCTCTATTTAAATTATAATGTGTTTTTTCAAGATTGTATCTATAATCTTCGGAAAATTGTTTAACATACGTATTAAAAATTTTTCAAGTTTCTTATACGATTTGAGAAATATTCGTAACATTAGCTCATATATACACGCAACGGAAGTATTTAAATCTGATTTGTTACTCTGACGCTAACGTTATAACAAATAAGAACTTTCAATAAGCAAAAAATCATTCTACTAAACTTAAGAAATGGCTAATTACTTATTTTTTTATGAATATTAAAAGTAATCTTAAATATTTGAGCACTAATGTTACGAAAAAAAATGTACCTGATTTCTATAGGTAGAATATGTTAAAATCCAGTAAAGGAAAAAACCTGAAAATTACATTTTACGACTTTGGGGAACTTAAAATTTTAAGTAATTTAATTTTCTTCTAGCAAACAAGTGATTTTCTTCATCTTGTTACCCTCTGGTTTTCATGCATCGCTAATAGCAAATCGATTAGTCTTCAATCTCCTTTCTCCCCTTCTCTCTCTCTCTCTCTCTCTCTCTCTCTCTCTCTCTCTCTCTGTTGTAACAATTATTTTATTTTTTCCCATATTAATTAGAATGTTAAATTAAATTTTTACATAAAATCTTGTATTAATTAGTCAATACTTACAAGTCTCTTCTTTATAAAATTTTTCATAGTAATTTTAATCTAATATATAATTATAATATATTATTTTGGACTAACAAAAATAGTAATTTATCTTTTATTTATAATTATAATTTCGACTGGTTTTCATATTGCTTGGTTTAAATTCATAATTTACAAAAAATATTTTAAAAGTTAACGTGCATCGTATATTACAGATACATGGCCATCATGAATCCATTGAGACCTCACATGGGTAAAAGAGCTACCCTCTGTATAGCGATCTTCATTTGGATCGTAGGAGTTATCCTCTCGCTACCGATGCTATTCTTCTACACGACATACACTCAAAATTTCGCAAACGGCGAAATACGAGTGATCTGCTATGGAGAGTTTCCCAACAGAGATGACAATGGTCTCAGTTACGACGAATACCTGTGAGCTTGTCATAATAATCGAAACCCAAATCTTTTCTTTTAGATTTCATGCATGCTAATTTCAAATACACATATCTAATATATACATGTATCATATGTCGAATATATTAAAAATAATATCAATAATAATAATAAATTAAAAAAAAAATAATATCAACATAGTAAATAATATGTTTATATTTATAATACGTAACGTGTATTATATCTTTATATATAAAATATATAAATATATGTATAATATATATAATAATGTAATATAATAATATAATATGTATAAAATATATATTAATAAATAAATGTATAATAATATATAATAATAATAATATATAAATGTAATAATAATATGTATAAAATATATATTAATAATTATTAATAAAATATTTATAATAATATTTTATTATAAAATAATAATGTTAATATAATTATTATAAAATACAAAAATTATAATAAATTATTATAAAATAAAATTAATGTAAAAACATTTTTTTATTTAGGAGTTCGATCTTGACAAAATCAACTTTGAACATGTTTAGTTAAGAATTGTCTTAATACACGTGTACTTAAGAAATTTTCATACTTGGAAACAAAATGTGGAAAAATTTTATTCGATATTTTTTATTTATTTTCAAACATAAAATATTTTTGTATTTTTTATTTTATTTTATTTATTTTTTGTCTAATCCGATATTAGTTAAATTTAATTATAATTAGCAAATTTTCAACCTTAATTGTCTCAAAGAAAAATGACATTTTTTTCTTTAATCTATTTTCGCATGTAAAATCATAATAATTTTTATTAGTATATCCTGTATGTAAAGAATTGCTTATCCTTTGATCTTATTAAATTATTGCTTCGAAAAATCCTCATAGAGTTTTACTTCTATCACTTTAGATGTTCGAATGAAACTAAATCTATATGAAAAAATAAATGATTAAAATAATTGTAAAAACGAAATTTGAAAAATTACACGAATTTTATATTCTGTTTTTATCAAAATTTTGTTCCTTATGAAGTTATAATGATATAAAGATAAGATATAGTGAGCAATCATAGATATTATTTAATACGTGACTTATTATTAAGTAGATATTATTTAACTTGTCCTTCAATCAGTCAATAAAATATTTTTCTGATCTCAAATTTGAAAATTCATTACTAACGAATTGTATCGATTAAAATATTAAAAATATAATCACATTTGAAAGTGTGTTTTCACTTGCAGATAATAACATCAAATTATATCTTTTTTCTGTTATATTCTTTAATTTCCATTATCTTTTACTATCTTCTACATTAAACAGTAAAGCAGTACATAAATATTAATATTAGGGATTTCATCCTATTTAGGATATTCTACATACTAAAGAACAATTTCGTCTTTTATCGTTAATAACACGTTATTTATCTTCTATCAAATAATGTCAATATAAGAACTAATGGACCTTTGAAATCACTTTCAAAGAAAACAATTGAATTTCAAACCGTTTTTCTTTTCTGACGACAATCAGATACGCAATAAAAAGTTTCTCACGTCATTTTCTATTAAATCGAATGTATAGAATCCAATAATTATGAGGTATAATTTTTTTATGAAACATTAAAAATAAAACTGTAATAAACATTAAAAGATCGTAATAAAATACTACTAGATCGTAATAAAATACTAAATTATTTCCTTTCGTAAAGAAAATACATATTATACATCCACATGGATCCACAAGTTTCGTGTTCTCTTTTTTAACTGTTGTGAAAATTGAACTTCCGCGTAACATTTTAGAATTCTTAGAATTTTGTACAAATTAAGAAAAAAATAGCTTTATTGTAAGGAAATAAAATGAAAGAGTAGTAATTATGATGACATGACTTAAAACAAAAACTATATTCTTTTCAATAGTAAATTAATGGTATTAACTTTTTAGTTACAATATAAAAATTGATTTTTATTATTTATCAAACTAAAACAAGTTAAAACAATATATACACAAGTTAAATTGGCAAATGAAACAAGTGTAATTAATACTTTATTTAATAGAATAACTGTAATTAGTTTATTTCCATAATAAACACATTTTTCCTAATTTTGGACAATATACACACAAAACAATATATATATATCACAAACATATGTTATACATTATATATAAAAATAAAAATTTAAATAGATATTTAAGATAAAATAATTCGTACATAAATTTAGATTTATATAACGCGAAAGAAACGCATATTATATTTTCATAAAATAAAATACTAAATTTTTATCGAAAAAATAAAATGCTACAATAACATTTAACATATCATAAATAATATTCATTGTTTTATACTTGTATTGAACTACATATTATAATATAAATATCGAAACAATGAAAAGTAATGCAACAAATATTTCGCTTACTAATTACTAATTACTACAATTTCATTCTCGTTAAATTTGTAAGTAATGCAATTTTACATTTTATTTATTTATTTATATTTTATATTAAATGATATTTTAAATTAAATTTAGTAATTATATTAAAATGATATAGTGTTTTCAAATTCATAGAAAAATTTGTTTAATAAATATAAACTATAAATTCTTTTAAAAACATTTCCAAAACAGCAATTTCATAAGCACACTTTCAGAAAATAACGAAACAATATATAATAATTTTCTGGATTTAGAATTGAATAAACATTCTGCATAGTGTTAGATTTTTAACTGTCAATTGGAGATAATAAAAGTGTATTTCAAATTTTTACTATCACATAAATACAATTATTATACTTTTATCAAAAGCAAAATTCTTTAAGCACGTCTAAATATCTTTGTTACATATTTCAAGATAAATAAAATTCATAAATCGTGTATATAAACATTTTTGTATTTTTATATAAAAATCCACTTAATTGGCAATCAATTAAATATAAATACTTTAGAAATTTATTTGTTATAGGCATAAATATGTTTACAACAATATTAATTACATATTCTACTTCAATATTAATTACATATTAATTACATATAGCCTTCGGTGCTATCGGTAATATAAACTAATTAATGTATAATGAATACCCTACTTATTCTCAAATATACACATTACACGGCACATATACGCGCGCACATGCACATTATATGTGTGTATATATATATGTATAGTACTTATTCACAAATAATATATATATATATATATATATATATGTATATGTATATGTATTTACATGCTCTAATGTAAATTTTCTTGCTATCACATATGCTAAAATACAACGATCACGGTTTTTCAGATACAATGTGATCTTCATGATATTGACATATGTTTTACCAATTGGATCGATGACGTTCACATACGCCAGAATTGGTTTGGAGTTATGGGGTTCGCAAAGCATTGGCGAAAATACTGCAGGACAATTGGAAGGTATACGGAGTAAACGTAGGGTATGTAACATTTCCATTAACGAATGCATGTACCTTCGTGAAAACTATGACCTGTTATATATATCGACGAAATTAAATGACCTACTTTATATTTCATTGGAAAACAGATTATTATCTACGAAAAATATATCTACTTAGAAGTTTATAATTTTTCTTTACTTGCTTTATGTATGTTGTTTTATTAAACGATACATTTTCAAATGAATTAATAGAAATTTTATTATAGGAGAGAATTATAATAAAACAATATTAAAGACTACTAAATCACAAGACATAAACATTCTTCAAATTATTTAAATTTCAATAGCAGTATAACACATAATACATCAGAACTTTCACGTTATCTGTTCAAACAAATGTACCAATTTGTCAAATGCGAATTACGAAATCTAAGATAAGGCTTTCTATGTAATCGAATTAAATAATCTTGTCATTGTAAAAATAATTAATTTTACGAAGTTCTCGTTCAATGTTGTATGTGTCAGAAATTGATAAGCAATCGCAACATAAGATAGCAATTGGAAATTTGATTTTAACTTAATATATGTGGACTGTTTCGTTGTCAACATTTTATCAATATATTATACAATTTTTGCAGAAGATTCATTAATTTCCAAACCATTAAAAACAAAAAAAGTTAATCCCATGGATGTATATTACGTAATGTAAAAGGACGTAATATCAAATTTCAAATTTTATGGTTGTTACATCAGAACTTTTACGTTATCGTCGAACAAGATTGGTTTCCACTTGTTCCGCAGATTGTTTTGATATTAATCCCGCGTTTCGTTATTAAACCACGTACGATTTCATCTATTTGTTTGCAATATGTTCCTGCTGTAGCCCCGGGTTATAGGAAATAGTCCTATATACGATCACAAAATAATCGCTATTTTTTTTCTTGGAACGAAATTTGTATCGTAATGTATTTTCTATGTTATACCATCATTACGAATCATTACCTTGTATATTACGATTATTGCGTTTTAATTGGATCCTCTTTATTTCTATCGAATAACGAAATTACTATCTATGCTGGTTTAAACTTTAGTATATCACAAGTAATAACTGAATTATATATGCATATACAATACTTTCATCTAAAATATTATTTTCATTGCTGTTAGTTGTGAATTACACTCAGTTGTCAGTAATTTATCTTAAAACTTTTATTATCCGTGACATTTTAGTCTTCTCTCTTGTTCAGAAATCACAAATCCCGAATTCTATGAATCAATATTGAATTCTCGATCAAATATTAAATTCTCTTTAAATATTAGCTTTATGTTTGCACATTTAACTGCTCTCTATTTTTAAAAAATTCAAATAAAATTATAAACGAGATACAGAATAAGTCTAATATAATAAATGACTGGAACAATGATTCCGTATTTTACATTCTCAATAAACAATTGTTAAATTATTAATTGAACCAATATGATTCTTTTTCGTCCTTATTCAAGTTTCAATTTACTGAATAACAATTTTTTAAATACAAAGAATTATTTTCACTATCCAAAAATTAGAAATTGTAACGGACATTGCGTCTATCGGCTTTAAGTCGTTATACTCGTATTTAAGCTATACACTCGTTACACACCGTCAACCAGTCATCGGCTACTAGGTCGTCAACGACCACTAGATTCAGGAGAATATATGAATATAGAATATATCCTGCACATTTGGTTGCCATGACCAAGAAAATGCAAGCGACTCGTGAGCAATCGTTGATCACTATGACAAATGCGATGTATTGAATCAAATATAAGCATTCATACGATACGCAATTTTCTGGCAAACTAGTCAATAGTGTATAACAGCTCTAAATATTTTCATTCAAATCGCTTATCCGCGCGTCTGTGTTTTTTATTTTTTTATTTTTATAATACGCTACGTAGATCATCCAACTGATGATTTCGACCATTGTTCTGTATTTATTTATGGTAAACGTAAACTGATTGGTTGGCAGGTGCTAACCGAAATCATACATAAAACGGACAGAGCAATTAGAACAGCGAGATAGAATTAAATCAATGTTCAACTGGTCAGCTGGAAACTAGCAGAGAAAACAACTCTGTTTGTCACTTTTTAATAGAGAAAACGACTCCGACTCGACGCTTAGCACTTTCTAGGAATTGACGGCGAAATTGAACAAGGACAGAGACGGCAAACCTCTACTCCTTTTTCTAACGTTGAGAAAAGCGAACTTCTTGGCATAACCAATACCTTAGTACTCCTGAACAAAACGAGATCATGGCATTTCTGCTATCCCTTTTTTGTGGAAGAAAACGATTCTGGCACTTCCAAACTCTGTCCCGAAAGGAATATATATATTTTTCCTCTGTTTTCCCAAAATAACCGCTAAGATTAACGGTCTTTTCTAATACAATGTAAAACAATATTTTTGCTAATATCTCAGTAGCTATGTATTTTAGACCCTATTTGGTGTAATACTTTTTTATGTTTTTACTCAACGCTTTATCCGAATTCGGGATGAAATATTAACTATTCTATTTAAAAAATTGAAGGTGATCTTCGTGATCTTGATAAAAAAGCAAAATAACATGAAACTGATTACAGTACTATATGTCCCCCTGGAAGCCATGCAATTTCTATCTGAACATTTTTTCGTACAACAAATATTTTATGAGTTATTTAATGTCGTCACCTGTATACAGAATGTCAAAAAAATATTACACAACTTTGATTGCTGATTCCATTACTTCAACTAGTGGAGATCTATTTAAAAAGTGGAAAAAAATTGACCTTAATGACTTTCAAGGTGAAATTTTTTTATTGCATTGTATTCTGTTCATTATTTGTTAAAAATTTCCAAGAAGCTATGAATTGCAATTTAACCGTTTTCTTGAAAAAAAAAGTTAAAGTTTCATTAATTTTCGAATTCACTTCATTTGTAATGTGCTATAGTTAGATGCAAGGAAAATAGCATCTACCATTACATATGGACACTATTATATATCTCATGTCTTCTTTCCTTCTTTCTTCCTTTTCTTCTTTTTTAATATTTAAATCTTATGTCTTGAAATCATTTCCACATATTTTGACTTTCCATAATAAAAACCATATTCAATTTGGTGTTTCAATTATTGTTCAACAGACGTAATTTATCGACTCGAATTAATATTACAAATAATTTTTTCTTATATTCTTTTAAACATTGTCAGTTCTATACAAACCTATACATTTATGTATAAAAGATAAGGACACTATGAACACAAGAATACTATTGCTGTCTTTCTTCTTCTTTCGTATAACAATTTTATAGGATTAAGGTTAAAATATCTCTTAAATTAATAATTTTTCGATGTACATAGGTTACCACGTTGACTACTACTTGTGGGTGTGACCGGCGCAACCAAAGTTTATAAAATGCACAAACATTTATTATTTTGTAAATACAATTAATTTTAATAATTAGTAGACAATTAATAGTGATTAAAAACAATAAGTGCATATAGAAATATGTTAAAATTTTTATTTTTAGCATTGCAAATTCAAACAGATATATAACGATATAATATATTAATAATTTTTTATGGAGAATTTCATATTGCATTAATCAATATATTTATTTTAAAAAATGAAGATAACTTTAAAATAATTTCATATTCTTCCTATTAAAAAAAAATTATTACTGTAATATTATAGCCTCTTCTACATTAAACAATTTTTTAAACATTTTCTATATCTCCAAAAATAACGAAAATATCCAAGGCGATCAAATTACGCGGTTTATTCTCCATACAACACAAATGTCGTTTGCAATGTTTTAGTAAAAGTCAAACTAAGAGCAAATAGAAATAACCACAATCTGCCAACGTCATGGATACATTGAAAACTATTGCAACGAATTATCAGTATACGTAAAATGTGCAGGATTGTTCAAGCAATTGCCCACTGGGTAAAAAATAGATAAAATTGTCTGCTTAGACTGCAAAATAACCATTTTGCTAACTATAAGAATTGCGGGAAAAGAACTATAAAAAAATATTATTTCTTTCAATTAGAAGTAGAGGAATCCAAAACTAAATGAACGGATATACAATTACCAGCTCGACACATACACATAGATGCACTGAATAAACCTTAATTCTAACCACAAACAATAAGTTATACATAGATATATTGAAATCAAACCCTAACAGCAAATACAAGTGGAAAAGCAATTAAATAACCTAGAACTGGAAAAACTGATAAAAACTTTAGCATTCAAATGACAACGATGTTAAATCTTTTAATTAGATATTTAACGCTACAAAACACAAATAAAAACAAAAGTTAAGATTATAGTATAGACTGGTAACGAATTGTAAAATAGGTTATCCGAATTAAAACTATCTACTATGGCAGAAACATAAAATGGAAAAATCGCACATAAAAATTATATTTATTATAGCAGTCTGCATTCAATTACACTGACAAACTACAATCGATAACAATTAACTACGAACATATGACAGTATTAATGTTTCAGTACTTCACATAGAATATACATACAATAAAGCAAAACGTTAGGCTACGTTTCCATTGAGACAACAACAAGCAACTTCGTCTTTTGTTATTGCATATTCCAAGACATTTCTGACAAATACTAACTTAAAGCTATGTGCTCACTGAAATAACAGTAAAAAACTTTTGTTTCATATTTCACATATGTATTTTAAAAAAGTCGTATGTTGTTCACGTTTCTGTTGTCAGCAAATGCCGTCACTTGTTACCTGTTTCTATTTTAAGCGGTAAAAATCAAAGGAAGAAAGCCCATGGCAACAAATGTTTCTTCAATGTGATGCAAATAAATGTAGTTTGAAGTCGAAATCAGATTATATTGTTTCATTGTGGACAAAATGTTTCTATATTTCGTTCTCAGTGAAACAATAATGAAAAAACTTCTTGCTTCTTACTGCATGTTCCAGTAAACATCAATTGGCAGATCTATTTTATCGGCACTGAAGCAACATAATCCGAGGAATATTTTGGAT